CCAGGAGACGGGGAGTTCTAGTACTGCCTTAAGGCATGAAAGCCAGCTGGGTGACTTTGGGCCAATCACCAGGAGACGGGGAGTTCTAGTTTCATCTTAGAAAATTTGGGCCAATCACCCGGAGATTGGGAGTTCTAGTCCCGCCTTAGGCATGAAAGCCAGCTGGGTGGAATTTGGACTAATCAGCAGGAGCCTGGGAGTTCTAGACTCCCCCTTCGGAAGGAAAACCGGCTGGGTGACTTTGGGGCAATCAGCAGGAGCCTGGGAGTTCTAGTTTCACCTCAGGCAGGAAAGCCATCTGGGTGACTTTGGGTCAATCACCAGGAGACGGGGAGTTCTAGTTTCATCTTAGAAAATTTGGGCCAATCACCCGGAGATTGGGAGTTCTAGTCCCACCTTAGGCATAAAAGCCAGCTGGGTGACATTTGGGCCAATCAGCAGGAGCCTGGGAGTTCTAGTCCCACCTTAGGCAGGAAAGCCAGCTGGGTGACTATGAGCCAAACACCAGGAGACGGGGAGTTCTAGTTTCACCTTAGACAAGCCAGCCAGGTGACTTTGGGCCAATCCCCAGGAGATGGTGAATTCAGGCCAGTCTCCCTCTCTCAGCCCAAACCACCTCACAGGGTCGTTGTTGTTAGGAAAAGAGGAGATGGATGTGTTTGACACTTTCACAGCCTGGACTTTTTGTACAAATAATAATAAAGGATATAGATAAGTGAAGGAATTTTTGGGGAGACCGACAAGGATCGACCAAAAGCACGAAATACTGAGCAGCGTCTGTCTTCCCCGGGGGTGAGAGAAGATAAATAGGAAGCTCAGAGGGAGCGGACTACAAATCCCAGATGCCTCAGCCTTGCTAAACATCCCCCATGAGCCCGCTGAGAGCATTATGTCCTACTTAAGCAGCGCTGCAAATTTTCTACACAGCTTACCGCAATATTCCTCAACCTCTCTGACTTTTAAGACCCATGGACTTCAACTCCCAGAATCCCCCAGCCAGCAGATCAGTTTCCCATTTAATTCTCATGCCAATCAACTCCCAATTCTCAATTTAGCTTCTCAGGGTTTATTTCTTTTCTCATTTTGTTGAAATCAAGATATATTACATGTACCGCATTCCCACCGTCTATGAAGAAAGCTACCCAATTAAAAAAAAAAATACAAGATGTTCCCTAACAGACCAATAAATCGTTGGAAATTATAAACAGGGAACCTATTTCCATATGTGGTGGACATGCCCTCAAGCTAAAAATTATTGGGTTTAAAATTAGGCAATGGCTGGAGGAAATTACAAAACAAAATTGAGACCAGAGACATTCCTATTGGGTATATTAAGAGACAAAATAAGTAAGAAACTCCAATATATTATATTACATCTAATAACTGCAGCATGAATCGCCTTTGCCCAGAATTGGAATAGTGACAGCATTCCCTCCAATATTATGATAATAAAAAAAGGTTTTAGAGTGTGCAGAAACGGATAAGCTTTCAATGGAAACGAAGGAGAAGAGATGAGATGTACTACGAAATTTGGAATTTATGATCCAATTGGCTGCAAGGTAGACGCAAAATAGAGAGATGAAATGAAAGGTGATGGTGTGATGAAATAATTTGGCATGAATAGACATAATTATGTATACTTATGTATAAATACGTAAACAAATATGTAAATATATGAAAATATGACGTAAATTAAATGTAAAATAATTGTAATAATATTTAGTAATATTCTATATACTTAAGAATAGGTCAAAGTGAGTTCACTCACTCATTCATGCTGCAATGAATGGTAATATATTTTTAATTGTTTTTTAATTGTAAATTTGTTTAATAAAGTTTTTTTAAAATTTTTTTTAAAAAAATACAAAAATCGTTTCGCCACATTTCTTCTTGTCTTAAAAAGTCACAAAAGGTTGAGACAAAATAGCTCTCATCAAAGGGCTCCTTTTCTGGGGGTCTGGAGGTTTGGAGGGGGGGGATCTCAGGACCTCCCATCCAGGGGTGGGATTCAAATAATTTTTTTAATTATTTTTTTTATTAAAAATAAACTTTTTAAAAAATCTTGAACATGGTGGTCTGTCTTTGACATACATATCAGTCTTTACACTATTATATAAGCAAAATCATTAAACAGTATATATGTATATATATACATATACATATATATATACATGTATATATATATTTGATCTTTACATCCTTTTTTAATCCTAATCATTGTTTTGCAATTCAATTTAACCTTAAATTCTAATTCACATTTTATAGACTTCCTTTCATATCCCTCCGTACATAGACATTTTTCCATATTTCATAATATTCTGAAGTGTCTCACTCTTTCAATTTTAACGTCATAGTATCTAGCTAAGCGCACTGAAAAATCTTTTCTACTACTGCTTCATCACTTGGCATTTCTTTTGACTTGTTTGGGCAAGTAAATCTTGATGCTGTAATTACATGGATAATTAGGGAGGTATCTGCTTTTTTTTAAAAAAAAAATCATATCTTACATGCTGGAAATGTTTGAAAGAACGGGGCACTTGCTATTCTGTGTGGTGGGAGTGCAAGAAAATACAAGAACTCTGGCGCAAAATTTGAAGAAATGTTGGATTTAAAAATTAATTTTACCTCAGAAATGTTCCTAGGAGGAATAAATGGATTCAAATAATTTAATCAGTTGCTTCTCTGCCCTCACGATTTCTTCCAACAATTCGTTCGCCAAAACGGCTCGGCCAGTTAACCGGTGCGAACCGGCTGAATCCCATCGCTGCTATCCACCCCGTTTACCTCAAACATCTCGTTGTCCCGCAGCGGCCGGTTGGTCATGACCACGCCGTTGTTGAACTCGTCCAGCGGCCGGCGCCTCTCGGCCGTCTTGTTGTTGTTGCTGAGCTTGATCAGGGTGCCACACTTCTCGTGGAAGAGCAGGGCGTCGTTGGAGGTCATGGGGGGCGCGCCCCCGGGCGGGGAGTCCGAGGCGGGGCTGACCAGGTTGACATTGAGGAGGCTCCCGTTGTAGGCCGACAGGATGGCATTGCTTACCACCTCCGACAGCTCTGTGCTGGAGAAGCCTATGAGGGGATTGTGTTTTGGGTGGAGGTCGACGTACCCACAGTTGGGATGCCAGGCACCCCATTGTCTCCTGGCTGCCCATCTTGTGAAGGGGGGGGGTCGGTTCTGATGGGGGCAAAGACACCCTCCCCCACAACCAGGCCTGGTTCATTCAAATGAGAAGCAAGTTTGTTCTAGCTCCAAAAACTTGCTTTAGACGTGAAAGCCAGCTGGGTGCCTTTGGGCCGATCACCAGGCGAATGGGAGTTGTACCCAACCCTTGTTTAGGTAGGAAACCTTAAACCATTTCAGACAAAGGGTTATCCAACATCTTTTTAAAAACCTCCAGTGTTGGAGAATTCACAACTTCTGGAGGCAAGTTGTTCCACTGGCTAATTGTTCTCACTGTCAAAATATTCTCCTTAATTCTAAGTTGCTTCTCTCCTTGACTCCAGTTATTTATAAGAATAATAAAGGCAGGAGGGAAAACAGATTGTAAAAATGATGGCAGAAACCAATGCTTCATATTGCAAGGGAAGACAGCCGGTGGGCTGCTGAAACCTACAAATTAATTATATATATATATATATATACACACACACACACACACACACACACACACACACACATTATATATATACACACATACACCACACACAAACACACACACACACACACACACATACACACACACACACATACACATACACACACACACACACACACACACACACACACGGTATTCAGCTTTGTTCGGGTATTTTTCCACGTCATTATAGTTGTGCTTTTAAAGCTGTAGCAACGTTTCGGCAGAATCTCATCTGCCATCATCAGGCTTGTCTATTGTGTTCGTCTGTGAGTCAGACTTTTACAGCTGTTTCAGACTTTCACAGCCGTTCACACACACACACACACACACATATATTTCCCCCCTTATTTCCATATTTTTTATTTATATATATGTATATATGTATGTACTATATGTAATAGTATAGTATAGTATAGTATAGCATAGCATAGCATAGCATAGCATAGCATAGCATAGCATAGCATAATATAATAATAAACTATAACAACT